ATAGATTTTTTAGTAAACTTTAACAATATTTGTCGATTCAATAATTCTGGTTAGAATTAACTGATAACTTTGATTTTGATTTTGATTAACTTTTTTTAGCTAAACTAAATCGGGCTAAAATTAGTTATTTTTCTCTAACTTTAAGTTAAAAAGTTACTTATTTTAATAGTAGCTGTTATCTTATCATCATTAGAGTTTAATCGCCGGTGGAGGTGACACAACAACTGTTATGCTAGTATGGACAGTAGCCCTGTTACTAAACAACCGCCATGTATTGAGAAAGGCTCAAGAAGAATTGGACAATCACGTTGGAAAGGAAAGGCAAGTAAAAGAATCAGATATCAACAAACTGGTTTATATCCAATCCATTGTCAAAGAGGCTTTACGTTTATACCCCGCAGCTTTCTTGGGTTCCATGAGAGAATTCTCAGAGGACTGCAAAGTAGCAGGTTACCACATTGCGAAAGGTACATGTAATGCGCTTTTTTTTCTACTTTAAATGATCAATCTTATTACAAGAAATGATCATTATTTTTATATTTTAACTTTGAAATGCTCACACAACAGGTTTAACTTGTTTGAAAATACAAACTTTTGAATTCTAATTACTTTTTTGAACTTTCGATATGTTCAAATTCTTTTTAATCTGATATTTATTATAGGTGTCGATCAACTTTTCAACAGAAGTATTCTAGCTTCTAGCTAAGTCGTTATGCATTAGGTATTAAATTTATATTAACAACGTGAGATCTTACTTTTGATAGGTACGAAGTTAATCATAAACATGTGGAAATTACATAGAGACCCTCGAATATGGTTCGACCCATTGGAGTTTAAGCCAGAGAGATTCCTCACGACTCATAAAGATTTCGATGTGAAGGGTCAAAATTTCGAGTTGATCCCTTTCGGAGCTGGTAGAAGAATTTGTGTTGGCACTGCTTTTGGCCTTCAGATGCTGCATTTAGTCTTGGCTAATTTGCTGCATGCATTTGAACTTTCAACTCCTTTTGATGAAAAAGTTGATATGAGTGTGAGTTCTGGGCTAACTAATATGAAATCTACCCCTCTGAATGTTCTTCTTTCCCCAAGATTATCTCCATGTCTATATTAAGTGGAACAGACATCCACGATAATGTATTTCATCAATGATAGTAATGTATGAGTATGTAAAGATGATTATGTGAAGATGAAACCGAACGAGCCTGATAGTCATTGAATAAGAATGATGAATCTAATTAAATTGTTAGTATTTATGTACACTCTATAAACATATAAATATTAAACATTAACTAGCATTGATCAATTACTTATAAGGAGCTTTTGTGTTGTAAATACATGTTGAGAGTTTGAAAGTCTATATTTCATTAGAGAGGTACCATCATTCTCTTGAAAACTCTATCTTGTGGTGCATTTTATCGAGTAGTGGTTTTATCTAGTTATATATCCTTGGCAGAATTCTCTGGGTCATGATAAATATTGTATCCGTTTGATGCTTGGATGGTGAGTTATTCTATCAGTTATTCATTCATTTATTTATTTATTTTCAATCTTCTATCTAAATTGATATCAATTGTGAAAGTGATTAAATTACAAGTCTTCGTGATTCTCAAATAATCATCTTTATACTTTACTAGGAAAACCCTACGACAAAATCATAGTCAAAGAAAAAGAATTTCATGTCATTCTTATAATTACGAAAAGAATATTATCTCATTAAATTTGTGTCAGGAAAATCCAAAGAATAATATATATCTCGATCAAAGAAATAAAGTACGACACTTTCTAATCTGTTTCCTCTCATGGTATCATCAAATATGATTATTAAACCAATGCATTCTGATATTGCATTCCAACATTTCTGTTCAAGAGAAATAATGACGTTTTTAAACTCATGGGTTGGATCACTCAAATCACAGTGATTGAATGTCATAAAAATTTTAGCATCTCCTCATTAGACGTCAATTGATCTTCAAAAGAGAGAGCTGAAACTCAATCCTAACAAGAGGAATCAGAGCTAGTGTCATATATACGAATCACAAAACTTCATGTTGAGGGAGGGTTTGTTCAGAGCAATTGGAACTCCACTCTTAAGTTCATGGCCTGATTTATTTAAATTATAATGATCAAATGCCATAAGAAGGTTTAGGCTATCGTCAATGAACACCAATTCATTTTCAAATGATGAAATCCAATCTGATCAATTTTTAAATGTCGTAAAAGCCATTACATTTGTATCTTATTTTCTTCTATAAATTCATTTTCCTAAAAGATAACATTTGCATGTTCGTTTGTGCTAAGCACATTAATTTAATAGAAAAAATGATAACTTTTATATAACAATAGTTATTTTCAGTTAATCAGTTTGGTGTTTATCAACATCACCTATACTATAACATTACTCCCTTTAAATTAATCAGAATGAAATTGGTTGTAAACAATTGGTAATACACAACATGACGTGATACATGAATTGTTATTATTATTATTATTTTTTTTTAAAATAGAATGCGATTGACTTGTAAAAATGTATATTGGAAATAAATATAATTGTATAATAATTTAATCATCCAATATTTTATTTTAATAAATTTGTTTAACAATGACCAAATAAAATCATGATTGCTCGTGGATGATCGTAATAACTTGTTAAAAATCTTAATATAATACACAAAACATTAAATTACTTAATAATTTTTCCCAAAAGCTTAAGGTCACTAGTATTTATTTTCCTAGTTAACTGCTATACGGTTCCATCTTTCTTTCTTGATTACATGATTCTTCGAAGTTTTCTTACAATTTTCTTGATGTTTTTGACTCTATTAAGAAATAATTTTCACTAATTTAATTACTTTGACTGAATTAGAAATAATTTTCACTAATTTAATTACTTTGGCTGAAAATCGAGTATTTGTACGGGTAAATTGTAAGAGAAAGTAGAATGGATCTCTTGTCATCAAATTGAAAGTTACGAGTTCGATCCTAAAATCATCTGGAGGAGGGTGAATAGGTGAAAATCCCAAAATTAAAATTGTCAATTAAAAGTAACAAGTTTGTTCTAGATTGTTAATCAATTAAGTCAATTTATCCTATGTTTGAATGCCACAAACAATAATTAAAGTAGTAAATAACACAATAATTGTTAACGTAGAAACCCGATTGGGTAAAAATTTTGGGACCAAGTTACTAACCTCTATTATAAACAATGTGAACTTACAGTCTGATCTAACCTAGCAAATTCAACTAGACTCGCTGATCTAATTTCTGCAATCTCCAAAACCCATTGGAACATGCATCATTCAAACCTATTTCCGATCTTGTAGAATTGTCTATCCCTGTGGATCACCAAAAAAACCAGTTCTTGTTCTCTTCCTGTGCTTGTAGTCCAACCTCCCTCAATCTTCAGGAAACTCCGAAAGCTATTAAGAAAGTACATTCCTTGATGTGTTAAGGAAGTGGATGTTTTGGATTATGGAACTTTGATGTTTTTCCCAAATTTGTAAATGTAAGAACTCAAGAATCAATGGATGAATCAAAGGGTTGAATATGTTCTTGAATATATGAATGATGTTATGGAGAAGGCAAAGTAATGAACAACCACACAAAATTCATAATATGATTTATGTATATATATTGGAAGGCAATTATGTAGTTTGGGCCTGTTAAAACTCTTTAAAAATGCGAACTAGGATTTTGTATATAACACTATCATTCAAGCAAGATCTCAACGACATGCAGGCCATCGCTTGGCGGGTGACGGAGTTTATATTTTTGTCGCTCGAGCATAAGATGGGCGATAGGCTAGCAAAATCTAGTGGCTCTTTCCTCTTGTTTTAAATTCGAACCCCAGGTTACCTACTCCAATTATATAATATTTCCACAAACTTCTTGACTTTTACAACTCTTTAATTTCATTTTTGTCTAAAGTTTTACAAATACATAAAATCCTAATAAACTTCCCCTTTGGCATTCTATGACAAAACTATACAATATAAGTCAAGGAAGTACACACACATAAAAAATAAAAAAATAAAAAAATAAAAAATAACACTATTCTACCCAAGTTCATACTAAATATATGTTTCCTGCATTCCTTGTTAAGTCTGTTTCCTAACACCAACAGCACAATAACAAGTGTAAAAGTACATTAGACAGGAAATAAAACAATTGAAACACAATCATAGATATGCTAGCTAGATTTAGATGTAATACTAATGTTAAACAAAACACCAACTGAAAAATTAATATCACAAAATATCAAAACTCAAATTGTTAAGCATTATGATATGGAATGCAATGACCATAATCAATCTCCTCGTTATTTCAAACTCTTATCAATTCATCTCTCCCCCAAAAATGTAGTTTCCTCCCTTCCTTTTTGCAACAAATGGCGAAGGGAACAATAATATAAACAATTTGAACATCAATTTACAATAACTCAGAGATGCAGTTGATAGCATTCATAAGTATAATTAATGATCAGTAGACTTTTCCACATACTTAGTTCAAGCTAATATGGAGTAAATTATATAAATGACTCATGTGTGTAAAGTATCACTAATCCTAAGTAGGAATCCAGACCTTAATTTTGTAAGAAATGACATGCTAAACGTTACTGTCAACAAGTCTATCCATCTACTTCTGAAAGTCAAGCCAATAAGAGCATATTAGGACCTATAAAAGAAGATTATTTTGCATGTATATTATTCTTTTCTCCTCGACTTTAAGCATATAGATATTTTTACACATTTTATAAATTTGTATTTTTAAACTCATCATTTTTCTGTTCATCAATTTCCATTAAGCGATAAATATTACCATGTAGCAAGCTTTAAGCCGATTAATTCAATAAGTTGACCATAAGCACTAGGTTATAAGAAATCCCTCAGACTTAATTCCTCAAGTCAAATAGGCCCCGAAGAAGAGCGTAAAATATTGAGCTTTTTCTTTCAAGGGAATATACTTTAGCTTAGGTCAACTAAAATAAGGTCAATTCATGTTCAATGTCACATTACCAACATGTGATTGCCATCCAACATTTCTCACTCATAGTCAAGCCGCACTCACAATATCATAGTGTGTGTTGTGCAAATGGCAGATGAAAAAATCTATAATAAGTACTCCATAAAAACCTAAACGAAGTAATGAAAAATACACTACATCACATCAATTAAACTCATACTTGATCATAACACATAAGTTCAAGCATATCATATATCATGTTGTAGTAAAAAAAAAAATTCATCTACCATTTTTTTTTTTTTTTTTTTTTTTTGCATTTTTCAATTTTTCAATTTTTTTAATACTTGAATTCACCAATCACACAAAACAAAATTCAACACAAAAGAATATTCATGTGACAATGCAAACATGATGAAGATGTACATGCATAAAACTTCTACCTAGAAAGCAAATAAACAAATGTGATGTATGCATTAAAGACTCACAATGATTAAGCCCAAGCATGTACTAGAAATACATAATCAATTGATTATAAAAACACTCTTACCATTAAGAGCATCGTGATTTATCTCTAGATTTTTTAGATCACTCTTCTTTATCTAAACTTGCCCAGTGGGAAGAACATTCTCAGTCATCTATGTCATTAACTTAGTCAGTCAATCACCTGTTTAGTAAGGAAGTCAATCTGGCTACCAAAATCTTGATTTTATTTCTATTGAAATTATGTTTTTGCTTCTGTTCAGGAATTTATGACACCTAGGCCCCATGTGTAAAAACACGTAAAGATAGACCTAGGACAAAATTTATGAGATCGCTAGTATCTATCCCTTGATTGACAGGTCCTACATTATCTAGTAAGCCACTGTCCTACGAATCCCTTTTTCTTAGGTTCATGGTTAAGAACATAGGCTAGTTAGTGACAAGGACAAAGACAGTCTTAGAAGTACTAACAGCATTGGGATCATTCTTCTTATATCCTAGACCTCCCTTATTACTAGCAGGTTTTTCCATTCCTAAGATACTGTCAAGCTTTACTGAACCACAAGAGAGTGCAAGGAGTTGGGTGTTAGAGTCCTCAAGATCTCTCATAAGGTTCGTAATCTTATTTTGTAATGACTCGTTCACAATGCTCAACTCACTAAGTTTCCCAAAGGAATTCTCAAGATTGCTCATCGAATTCTTAACTTGAGTATCTAAAGATTCATTCACAGAGGTCAACTTACTCAGGGATATAGTAGATTCTTGAAGGTCAATTAATAGTTTTTCTTTCTCTAACTCAAGACCTTTAAACTTTTACAGAAGGCTTCGTTGGTAGTCAATATCATAAGACTCTCGTCATACAATTTATCAAAAGCCTCATGTATGTCTTCTTC